ATATATATATATATATATATATATATATATATAGTTAAGTGAGAGAGAAGGGTATTGATATCTATGTGTTTGTCTTTATCTCAAGATGTGATGCCTTTATGTCTGTAGATGTAATTTGTGAGATAAATTGTTTTTTTTAACCTTTAACGCTTCAGCAGTATTTTTCTTCATCTCAGTTTTGACATTCTGTTTTTTCTCAGGGGTTTATGATAACATGAAGACCACTTGATTTTTTTTCCCCCATCATGTTCTGACAGAGATGTCTGCCTTTGATTGCCTGGCAGGTTGAGTAGCAAAACTGAAGGGTTTTCCTGCCCATACAGCTCAAGGAAATCTCAAATTATAGACAAGCAGATGTCAAATAGATGTTTTTGATGTATCGAAGGCTGCTGAACATCATTTTGTTTGAATTCTTATAGTGTACAACATTCTAAGGCAACTAACCTTTTCAGCTCGTGGATATGTTTGTGAAATGTCAGGAATACAGTGTTCTTTTCAACATTCTTTGTTTTACTCAAACACCTGTGCACTCTTCCATATCTGCATATTTTTTGTGTTTTTTTTTCTTTTCTATTCAAGCAATACACACTCACACACACATTTCCTCTCTTCAAACTTTTAGGTCATATCATTATGTTGGGAAATATACTCACAAATGCTAGCAAAACCTTCCTTTGCCTGTTTGGATTCACTCCACAGGCACAAACGCACTACTCCCCCCCGCACAGTAGAGCACTTGTCCAATTGTGTTCACTCCCACTCTGTGGAGTGAAAGGATGCCACCGTTTTGCAGAAAAGCCGTCTAAAAGCATGATGTCATTCCTTACCCCCACGTTCCTCCCTCCCACTTTATCTCTCTTGACTCTCTCTCTCTGCCCTCCGTTCCCTTTTTTTATTTACGCTCATAAATCACAATGAGAAGAAGACGTTTTTAATCAAAAGAGAAAGAAATATGGCTCAATAAATCCTGCCTTCTCAACTATATTAATGCCTAGCTTGTGTTCAAGTCTATATTTATCTGCATGTTTGCATACATCTGTATTCAGGACCACATGTGTATTTATGTGCCTCTGCATGTGTGTGTATGTGGGCAAATACTGAAAGATACTTATGTGGCCTGTCACCTCCGCTTTGTCAAGGGTTCACTCCAATATATTGATCGGGTTACAGACTTTCAGTGTTGG